TATGGTCAGTTTTGACGTGGCCCGCCGAGTTCGCACAGAAAGTCTTGTGCAGGAGTCATACAAGGAAACTCAGAGTTCGATGGGGCTGTTCGAATCTTGCCAAAAGACCGACGTTTTCCTTTGCAGGAGAAACTTATGAGCAGATCAAGGGAACTCTGATGGGCCCTCCAATTCCCGGTTTGGTGGCAAACTTTGCCCAACGAAGGCTGAAAAAAAGATTGTTGTTACCTAACAGCGGCCGATTTTTCGGTGTCTTTACGTGGACGGCAAGTTTCTTCTATCACCAAGAGGAGTATACTGTAGAATTCCCATATCAACTTTAACTTAATCTTCCCGGATATATAATTCACGAGGGAAGAAGGAAAGGAACAACAACAGCTGCCCTTCCCTGATAAGTTCGTCAGGCAAATTTCCAAGGGCACAATAGAAAAAACGGTCTAGGGGAAGATGACGAAAACCACGCAGCTTTTCAATCCTCACAGCAACCATCCAGAGGCTCACAAGCGAAGCTGTATGAGAGCACTCTTCAAACGAATCTGGACTCATTGCAGCAACCCTGGAGAAAAAGCACGTGAGGTCCGATATCTCCGCGACTGGTTTATGCGGGATGGTCATTCGAAGGCATTCATAAGCCGATGCCTGCATGTTCACCTTCAGAGGAGCCAACCCGAACCAGCTCCTATGGTATGGCATGCGCTCGCGACCGAACACATCGCCGTGGGGCCAGGTGTCGAATTGCATACTTGCTCAAAGGTACGATGCCCAGTAGGGTCATGAAAACCAAGAACAAATTAAATCCTGGTAAGTAGTCCGGTTAAGTGTATAGCATCCTGCGCTTAAATTTTTTTCGCAACTATACAGGACAGACAGGACGTATACTTAGATAGCGCATACACGAACACAAGTCGGCTGGGAGACGGGGTGACGGATTAACGCAAGTGGCTGCTCACATCTGTGAAGTGGGTCATGACTTAAATTTCGCAGCCACGACTAAAATCGTCCGCGCCAGCAACAAGACAAGCTGGGAATTGATTAAAGCCTAGGCCTCTGATGCGAACTCGGTAAATCGATTTATCGATCAGGCACCGGCATACAGAGGCTTTCGCAGTCACCTCCGGACTGGCGTTAATAGTATTTGATTGGATCCCTGTCCACCAAGATGTGTTCCTTTTTTGTTGCCGTTTTCAGCTTTGATGATAGACTCGGGTAAGAGTTTGAAAGCACTGAGTAATAAAGACAAGATTCCGGCGAGCAAACAGCCTCCTTATTTAACTTGTACGTGCCATCTCCTTCATCACCTTACATTTGGGCGCATGGCCGGAAACGAAAAAAATCATAAATAATGGATGACTTACCAAGTGAGATCGCTCACGGAGTTGGCGAACAGATCACGGACAACTAGAAAGGCGCGGCGACCAAGAGTAGTCTAATGGGTGGTAAAAAAAGGAAAAGAAGTGATGGGGCAAACGATGTCTAAAATACGAAGATCTTCGAAAAGAGGGGTAAGATGTGTCGGTATTGAAGTGTGTAACTTACCCATACGGAAACGGATCTATCCTTGCTCCCCAGAGCTAGACAAATCATGACCTGAGGGGGGGGGAGAATAAAGGCTGTGATTAAGTACTGAAGGCTGCAAATTATACCAGAGCCTTCAAAAGGCATTTGAACACCTACAAAGAAACACCTCACTAAAGGAGCAAATGTGAAATTCAAAGCGACCGAACGAAATTATACGCACCGAGTTGCCCGTAGCCGTTGACTTCCTCAGAAGGTTGGGATTGTATCGCTACATAAAAAAATAATAATTAAGCTTAATTAACAATGAAAAAGCAGTGGATACAATAACCACGGAGAATGGTAAACTTGTGTAAATACCCTATACATATGAATGAATGCAGGTGTTTCACCGATCTAGTCAAGGAACAATTA